AAGGCCTCCCAGCCTGTCTTGGGGGGTGGGGACAGCATCCTGGTGCCAGCCCCCCTGGAGCCCCTTGCCCGCACACCCTGACCCGCTGTGGCGTAGTGGGGCTGCAGAGAGGCTAGAGCTGGGGGCTGTTACTCCTCCCCGGCTGCCCTGCAGCAGGTCGACCCACTGAGGGCTCAGAGTCAGGAGCTGGATGGTACACCTGGTCCCCTGGCCATAGTCTCTCCACAGCCGTCAGCCCAGCACAGAGAGCCAGGGCCAGCCCAGGCAGATGTGGGCCACCTCAAAACAAGCACCACCCACAGGAGATCTTAGAAGAGTCCAGGGCCATTCCTAGGGGGACATGGGGTCTGGGCAGCCCCCTCCTGCCACAGTCTCCCCTCCCACATCTGCTCCTCCCCTTCTCCAAGCCCCACCCCTGCTTCATCCCTGTTCCACCTCTTCCCCCCCGCCCCGCTCTCCTCCAGCACCATTACATTCCTTTCCTGAGTCTATCACAGGACAGCAACTGGGGTCAGCACTTCCCCCTTCCCACACACTCACTGTAGCAGTGGGACCCATGGAAAGGAGAGCAACCAAATTGGGAGATAGTAGCTGATCAGAGTGGGCTGCTGGCTCACCCAGCTTCCTGCAGGTCCCCTGGGGAGGATGTGTGACCCCTGCTGATGCCCTGCCCCAGGCTCCCTAAGTAATCCTACAGGCCACCCTGGGCCTCATGGGCTAATATCAATATGGAAGACTGTCCATAGGACAGTTGGGGTGGTCCCTGTGGAAAAGACTTGTTTTTATTTGCCATCCCCACTCAGAAGGATCAGAAAAGGGATAGCTCAGTGCTAAACCCAGGGTTGTGAGTTCAATCCTTGCGGAGGCCATTTAAGGATTTGGGGCAAAAATTTGCCAGGGGCAGTACTTGGTCCTGCTGTGAAGGCAGGGGACTGGACTCTATGACCTTTCAAGGTCCCTTCCAGTTCTAGGAGATAGGCAATCTCCATTATAAAAAAAGAATTTTAAAATAAGCTCAGAGAACTTATAGGTAAGGTCCCATGGGAAGCAAGACTGAAGGGAAAAACAACTGAGGAGAGTTGGAAGTATTTCAAAGGGACATTGTTAAGGGCCCAAAAGCAAACAATTCCGCTGTGTAGGAAAGATAGAAAATATGGCAAAAGACCAGCTTGGCTTAACAAGGAGATCTTGCATGATCTCAAAATAAAAAAAGGAGTCATAAAAAATGGAAACTAGGACAACTAACAAAGGATGAATATAGGCAAGCAACATGGGAATGCAGGGGCAAGATGAGATCCATGAACTGGGCTTGTTTAGTTTGGAAAAAAGAAGATTAAGGGGGGACATGATAGTGGTTTTCAAATATCTAAAAGGGTGTCACAAGGAGGAAGGTGAAAATTTGTTCCTCTTGGTTTCTGAGGACAGGACATGGAGTAATGGGCTTAAAGTGCAGCAGGGGAGGTTTAGATTGGACATTAGGAAAAAATTCCTAACTGTCAGGGTGGTCAAATATTGGAATAAATTGCCAAGGGAGGTGGTGGAATCTCCCTCTCTGGAGATATTTAAGAACAGGTTAGATAGACATCTGTCAGGGATGGTGTAGACGGAGCTTGGTCCTGCCTTGAGGGTGGGGGGCTGGACTCGATGACCTCTCGAGGTCCCTTCCAGTCCTATTATTCTATGATTAAAACAGATACCATAGTTGTGATTGATATCCACTACACAGACATCTGTCCAATTTATACATGACCTAACCAGTGAGAAGTTAGGACATAAGAATAGTCTTCCTGGGTCATACCCATGGTCCCTCTAGTCCAGTATCCTGTCTTCCACTAGTGGCAAAAGCCAGCAGCTTGTGAGAATGAAGTAATCAACTAACACTAATTCATCCCTGGTAACACCCTTTCAAAGAGTTCTTCCCACAAAAAAACAAGGGTCCCTCCTTTCTTTCAAGGTACGGGTAAAGAACCTTTTTTGAGTTGGGCCACTGACTCACAGAAAAATCATTCAGGGGGCCACACTTAAGTGAGAAGCAATAACTGAATGAATAAATAAAAATCTCACTGACATGGCCCCCGAACTGAGAAAGAGAAAGACTCCCCCTATTCCTCTCCCACTCCAGAGCCTAGTGGGCCCCAGCCTGGTAGATTTTGTGTGCTCCAACCCCACAGTGGAGTAGTGGAGGGCTAGAGTGCCAGCACAGTGTTTGCAATGCAGGGATGGGGGGGAGGGAGGCTGAGCTTCAGGGGCCAGATCTAGGCAAGCTGAGGACTACATCATGCTTCTAAGCCTGAGGTTCCCCATCCCTGATTTATGGCATAAATATTAAACTAGAAGTTGTCCATCTACATTTCTCATTCCCCTCTACATAAGGAAAATTGCTTTTCAGTTCTAGTTTGATTTTTCTTTCAATAGCTTAGTCTGACGGCTCATTCTCTCACTGGTAAATACACAGGCTAATTTATTTAACAGAAACTAGCTGAAAGGGAAAAGTAATCAATTCTGCCTCCTGTGCTGAGGCAGCACCTAATGCCTGCCGGGATGTCTAAATGTATTGGTCTAACCTATTTTTAAAAACATCTAATGACAAGCATTCCACAATCTCCACTGAAAGCCTGCTTTGGTGTTTAGCTACCCAGATAGTTACCAAGTGTTTCCTAGTTTAGGCTTAATCCACACCAAAAATTTAGATAATTAGTTCTTTTCCTACCTTTGTGGACATGGAAAATAATTGATCACAATACACTTTATAAACAATCACTAACATAGCTGAAGACTTATCTGTTCCACCTTGTATTCTTAAGGCTAAATATGCCTAGTGTTATTTATGCTTTTCATCATATGTCAGATTTGCTAAACATTTACCAGTTTTGTAGGTCTCTTGGACTCTCACCATCTTTATTAAAAGTGTGGCACCCATAGCAGGACACAGTACTCCAGATGAGGGCTTGGTGCTGAGTCAACTGGGACAATTCATGTCTTGTGTCTTATGTATAATGCTCCTGCTAATACACTGCAGAATGATATTAGCATTTTTCACAACTGTATCACACTGTTGAATCATTCCATGTGAGATCCAGTGTAATACCTACATCCTTTTCAGCAGTACTGCTGCCTAGCTGGTAATTTTAATTTGTGCATTTGATTTTTCTTTAAGTGTAGTATTTTTCACTTGTCTTTGACAAATTTAAAAATCAATAAAATGAAATTAAGTAAAGTAATTGTCAATTCAAAGGCTGCCCCTCAAGTGCTAACAGTCTCACCCAGCTTGGTATCATCTGCATATAAGCATGCTTTCCATCCCAGTATTCAAGTCATTAATTTGATTTCCAATCATGTTTTCATGATCATAAATCCAGAGCACTTCCAGTCATGATGAAGCCGTAGCAAGTGAGAGAAGAATCAAACCCATCATGTACTTACTTTCTGAAGACTGAAGGGCTCAAGGTACTGTTGACAGGATAAGGAGGATTAGTTCTCTGCTTCAAATCCATCTTGAATTAGCAGTAACAAAGATTATCACCACCTGACGGAAGTGTGCAAGGAACCTGGCAAGTTTTTTTTTTCCCCCTGGACAGTTTTCTAGAAGACAAGAATCCACATAACAAAACACATGGCTCATCATTCTGGTTGGCAATCTTGGCAGAAAACTTGACTAAAATAGGCAAGGAGATTCTGTTATTAATAGTTAGAACACCGAAAAGCCCCAGTTAAGGGTAAAACACTAGCTGAAGTGTTCCAGGGAAACTTATATTGCTCATGCTATACAAATCCTGGGATGGAGACAAGTAGAACTGATATGCAATTATAAACACTTCCAATTTATAGTATTGGAAGAAGGTACTTCATATAAGCAGCTCAGACAATGAACTATCTGACCGAAGCAAAGCTTCAGGAAAGAAACATTTAAACACTTCCAATTTATAGTATTGGAACAAGGTACTTCACATAAGCAGCTCAGACAATGAACTATGTGACCGAAGCAAAGCTTCAGGAAAAACATCGCAAATTATAAAGTTTTATTGTGTATGTTATTTTGTTAAAACTGTAGGGTTGGAAGGGATCGCAAGGGTCTAGTCCAACCCCTGCCAAGATGCAGATTTGTTGTGTCTAAACCATCCAAGACAGATGGCTATCCAGTCTTTTGAAAACCTCCAGTGAAGGAGATTCCACAACTTCCCTAGGCAGTTTGTTCCACTGGCCTATTGTTCTTCCAGTTCAGAAGCTTGACCAAAGTTAGCCAAAAGCGTTACTTTGCTCCATTCTAATGTCAGGAATAAACTTGAAACTCCCATAATGCTTACTTACACAGAAAATATTCAGTTGTCAGAGCAGACTTCTACTTTAAACATAAGGAAGTGAAATAGAAAAGTGTAATTTGATTAGTACATCTTCGTTCTTTGACAACCTGAAAATAAGCCCATGAGCAGTTCTACTCTAAAGCTATAAAAACTGCATTGTTGGATTTATTCTTGCATTTAAAACTGGTCAGATTGGTTTGTGACCTGTTTGGTGCCTAGCATTTTTAATGAAAGATATGTACATTATGGTCGAATGTTTAACCTACTGAAGTGAAACAATTTGACAAATTTCCATTTTAAAGTTGGTCTCAGAAAAAAATTGTTAAAAACTTGGAAAGGGAAAAAAAAACCCTTTCATTATTATATTCATTGTTAAAAACTTGGAAAGGGAAAAAAACCCTTTCATTATTTTATTTTACATTTTCAGCCAGCTCTATTCACAAGGATTTCCAGAGGAAGTTTGCTCATTTTATAATTAAAAGGTGCTGTTTGTGATTGCTACCCCTACAAACCAAACAGCAATCAAATATAAAGCTTCCTTGTCAGACACTGTTACATTTGTGCAATGCCACTATCTTCAAATTGGGCTATGGAGACACTTGGGACAGGAGAGTTGACAGTTTTTGGAATTTAATTAACAGTTATGTCAATTATGCATAAGCCAAGGTAGAAGCCAGCTCTTGCTCTCACCCAAGTGGGATATGAAGAATTAACATTAATTCTGAACCCCGAAACAAGATCTGGCAAACTACAACATCTGTGGATTAAGAAGGAACCCATTTTACAGAGGTACATTTCAGAGTACACCTGCCTTTCACAGACTTCCCTAAGACATCAACAACAAAAATAAACAGGGAAGTAACAAGACCTTACATACTGGCTGATAGAAGTAGGAGCCTCTTTCCTTCTATGGCAATGCACAACTAGAGGAACAAAGTTTTGTGGAAAAAATTGGAGACAGGAAAATAGCTCTACTAGCCTTCTACCATTACTGTTTGCTAAATAGCTGACTCGGGGTAGCACCCAGGCAGTGCATTACCCACCTCTGCCCCTCACCAAAATGTGATTGCTCAATGGGGTGCTCCCTTACATTCTCCTCTCAGGGCCCTTTCTGCACCAATCACTACTGGTTTGTTACTGCTGCTCTAGTATCAAGGCACTATTGACACCATAGGGGTATCAGACTCTGCATACATAAACAAGATGTAGAGAAGGGGTATTTGGACACGCAAATACTAAAGGATGCCTATGCATAAAGGACTCTGCATACATAAACAAGATGTAGAGAAGGAGTATTTTGACACGCAAATACTAAAGGATGCCTATACATAAATAGACCACTTGCATCTAGAGGGTTAAACTTTATGTCAAATAAATTGAAGTGCAGTTAGAAGGCACAAACCCATACAGCTTGTGTATTAGAAGCATATCCAGACAGTCACAGACATACCACTGGTCTGTTACAGGTACAACCAGATAGCCCTGGGAAATATAAACCTGACTTCTTACCCTACTATCATAATCCACAAACTAGAAAAGCCATCTATAAAAACCAAACCAGACTCCAATAATGCTGATATGAGCTCTATTTATAGAACTCCACACAGAACCCCACTTAAGTCAATGCAGGGAGGGAGGAAGCCTCTCCAGACAGCAGTCATTGAACATAGGAACACAATCCATTAATGCCAAACACAAAACAAATAATTTTTCAGAGCCACAGGTAAAAACACAAAACATTCTCAAAGCTCTCATCCTCAAATATGCAGTTTTGATCTAACTTCCTTCCTTCTTAGATTAGTCCCTTATTGCCAAGATATGCAGTTTTGATCTAACTTCCTTCCTAGCAGTCTTAGGTTAGTCCCTTATTGCCAAGGAAAATATACTCCCTACACATAATAACCCTCTAAACAACTTTCTCCCCTGCCCTCCCTTTCCTTTTTATACTCCCTGAATGACCAATCCTCTTCACCTAAGATCAATCCCATCCTTAGCCCCTCACACTCATAGCTGGGTTCTTGTTCCCGTTGCACCTGTCCCTCCTCTGGGCAGAAGTAGAGTTTAACTCTCTCTGATTGGTCACATCATTTTTATACAAAGACATTAGGATGGCATTCAGATGGCTTTCCAGTCCATGTATCTTGTACACATACACTCAGATGGCATTCTGGAAATAGATTCAGAAGCTAAATTAATTTGGAATAGGGACCATGTTTTCTTGTGTGTTGGTACATCATCTATTCTAGCACAATGGAGCCCTGATCCTGCTAGGGTCTTTTGGACACTACTGCAATCAAGAGAACAGTGTTATGCTGGAAGGGATTAGTGGCTGCCAATAATCACAGACATGGTTAAAGTTGATGAGTGTGCTAATGATGGAAGAAGCAGTTAGGCCCCTTCATGTAATATCACTGGGAACAATCACTGACCAAGGTAGTAGGCTGCACTGGAAAACCTGAGCAGAGTTAAACCATGTGACCTGAGGCGTTTCCCAGGGATCAACTGCAAATAAAGGAGCTAGAAGGGGATTAATTGAGTGTAGCAGTATGGGCCTATATATTGAGAGCCAGAAAGCTGAGACACTACAGATAGGTAGTAATGAGTGTGGTACTGGGGAGTGGCTGAGACGGAGCTTCTTCTAGTTCAAACTTATTGCAAAGTCAGATTTCTTTCTGATCAGAGAGACTGCCTGCTGTGACTTGTTTCTATTTGTTTGGAAAACAGAATCTGATCAGAGAGACTGCCTGCTGTGACTTGTTTCTATTCTTTCGGAAAACAGAACTTTGTCTAGGATCTTTGTAAAAATAAACAGGGTTGCACCCATGAAATACCTGACTTCTATCATGAATGTCTGTCAGCAATACCCCCTATTACTGGCTAACTGCTTGGGCCACAGAAGGGATAACAATAATAATAGTTGTTGCACATGCAGGTGCAGGGAGATGGTTTATGACTGTAGCTCATAAGTCATTATGTATCTGTATCGTCCCTTGTATGCTTCCAGGTACAGGTATGGCAATTCCCTGCGATATCCTGGACATGCTTTACTGAGTTGCTTAAGTAGCTTAGGAGTTCCTTGTATTAAAACACGAATGTTGAAAGATGCTCGCCTTTGACAAAGTAGTTTTTACCCACGATATCTTACGACCGCATAAACCTGTTAATCTTCAAGGTGTCACGGGACTCCTTATACTACGTGTTTGGCAAGGATCTGCACACCCCTTTTTGACAGTAGTGACAGCTCCATTGCATTATATAACTCTCCGTAGTGCTCCAGCGGGTCGGCGCACGTGGCCAGGCAAAGCTGCTGGTGGCCCCCTTCCCTGCCGCAGG